GTGTTTGTCATTCGAGTGTCATGAGGCGGAAATGCGCTAAATTATACATTCAGACAGCCCGGAAAATGTTAAGACGATTTTCAATGAGATTTTTCACAGTAACATTTTCTAGTTTTAGCACTGGAATTAAGTTGTCGTTAGTAATGTATTACAGAGACTTAGGGCGGAGGATATTAACATGGCCAGAACAAATAAACACAGAGGATATTTTGTTAAAGATGAGAACAAAATCCGGGTAAATAATTGAGGGAGATGGAAAAAATGTAAGGATGTAATTATTTACATTATTGTAAAGATTTAAGGAGAGTTTACGTTTATTTGTGGGAGAATTATAGTGACAATTATTATAAGGTTTGAAAATGTTCTTTAAAAATTCACGCTTATAAGCCTAGTTAGAGGCTTGAAAATATTCTTTAAAAATCCACACTTATAAGCCTAGTTAGAGGCTTGAATATATTCTTTAAAAATCCACGCTTATAAGCCTAGTTATGGGTCTATATGTAGACTTCAAAATATTCTTATAAAATCTACGCTTATAAGCCTAGTTAGAGGCTTGAATATATTCTTTAAAAATCAACGCTTATAAGCCTAGTTAGAGGCTTGAAAATATTCTTTTAAAATCCCCGCTTTTAAGCCTAGTTAGAGGCTTGAAAATATTCTTTAAAAATCGACGCTTATAAGCCTAGTTAGAAGCTTGAAAACTTTCTTTAAAAAGTCACGCTTATAGGCCTAATTAGTGGCTTGAAAATATTCTTTAAGAATCCACCCTTATAAGCCTAGTTAGAGGCTTGAAAATATTCTTTAAACATCTCCATTAAGGGCATCAAAATATTCTCAAAAAATCCTAAGCATAGTTATAGACCCATAACATAGGCTTGGAAATATTCTTTTATGGGACTAGTTATTGGTGTGAAATTATTACTTTAGAAATTCACGCCTATGGCCCTAGATATTGGTGTGTATATTAAAAGTTCATTGCTTATGAACATAGTTTTCTGCTCAAATTTTTATTTATAAATCCATGCTTATGGGCCTAGATACATGTCTCAAAATATTCATTAAAAATCATAGCTTGTGGGTCTAGATCAGTGTTGCCAATTTAGCACTTTTAGTGCTAGATTTAGCACTTTTTGAACTCGTTTAGCACCAAAAAAATTGATCTAGCACCTAGCACTTTTTTTAGCATTTTTTAATTTCTTAGGATTTTTTTTACAAAATTTTGGTTTCAATCCAAAAAATCCCGTTTTTCGATTTAATATTGACGCATTGAATTTTCGCTATGTTTTACGCGATGAATTTAATTTTCCAATGCTATCCAGCATGCGCCGTGCATTCCAAATTTCTTAAAAAATGGTCGGGTACTTGGTAGATTGTTTATTTGGGAAAATGAAAAACCAAATAAACGCCCATGTGAGACGTTCCGAGAGTTTTTGAATTCCAATATCTTTTACATTCCCATGTTGTGCAAAATGGAGTGCTCAATTTCGAGCAAAAGTGCGGCTCGAAAGCATAGCTTTGTTCAATATGTTACAAACTGTGTTCAATAAAAAAAATATGTTTCATTGGAATTTGCTATTAGTTTAACAACAAAATAAGGAAAAAATGCCAGCTGGCTTATTAATTGTCTGGTTTTTACCAGAAAAAGACTAATGGTACTGGAATGACGTCGCCTTAGGGACGCATCGGACCCAACGGATATGCCCGAATCTGCGTAAGTATTTGTGATCATTACTCCATGGCTCTAAAGCTACAAATAATGTTTATAGTTTCGTATTCTTTTTTAGGATAAATAAAGAAGCATTAATGGATATTTTGAGAAAAGTTGGTCCTTTCATACGCAAGGGCAACATTCCCGAAAGACTACAGTTAGCAGCTACCTTAAGATTTCTAGCTGTTGGTGGGTTTCAAGGGGTAGTGGCAAATAATTTAAATATAAGTGTTGGTCGCACATCAATGTGTAACATATTGTGGAGAGTAATGAAAGTCCTGGAAGACAAAGTGTGTGCAGCGTGGATAAACATTAATTTCAGTGAAGATGAAATGAGGTTATTCAAATTGCATTTTTTTGAACATTTCGGATTTCCAGGAGTTATACATTTTGCTCAGATATTCCTCATATTTGTTGATTCTTCCGTGTTCTATATTTTCTATTTTTATTTTGATCATATGGTGGTTGAGTTGCCATACAGTTGAATTGCCATATTAATCTCAAAAAATGACGATTATTAGTATTTATATTTTAGTAGGAAGACTTCAAACCCCATCAAAACAAAAACTAGAAAACATTTTGTAAATTCGGTTGCGTGTCCGACGTCCCCAAAATGTCGAATAATGGGGAAGGTGCCGCTTTCTGGGGGCTACCCCTAAATATGGACCCATATTAATAATTTTTGATAAGGAGATTTTTTACTCAATAAAATTTAAACAATCAAATTAAAACCAATGCAATTGATGGGGGCTACCCTTAAGAGTGGATCAATATTGATAAGTTCTAGTAAGAAGACTATATATCCAGGTAGAACACAATATACAAATATACAGCAATTTAGGTTGAAAAATGCGCCTAAAAGCTTAAAAAAACTAATATTATGGTATGGTGTACCCAAAAACGACCGATATATTCCACTTCCAATATCAAATCTCATAGGAGTAGTACGAACGTATGTGCAAAATTCCAAAGTTCTGTCTTAAATATTGCGACCTCAATCGGACGGACATAATTAAATCGACAACGAATAACCGTTAAGAATAAATGGGGTTTCTGATTAATATTTCATTATTAAATTTTAACAATATTGTTCTAGAAATTTTTAGCACTTTTTTCTGGCACTTTTTTACATTTTTTAGCACTTTCTAGCATTTTTTTCAACAAAACTTAGCATTTTTCCTCAACGAAGTTTTGGCAACACTGGTCTAGATACAGGTTTCAAAACGTTCTTGAAAATTCACTTTCATTGGTCTGAACATAGGCTTAAAAAATTTGTTTCAAAATCCACACTTAGGGAATTTCAAAATGTTCTTTAAAGGGTTTTGATATCGGCTTCAAAAAAATCTTAAAAAAATCACTCTTATGGGCCTAGATACAGGGTTCGAAATATTTTTTAAAAATCCATGCTTATAGACCTAGATAGAGGCTTTAAAATAGTCTTTAAGAATTTACACTTATGGGTCTGGATATAGACTTAAAAAAATTATTTAAAAATTTAAGCTTATGTGCCTAGATACTGGCTTCAAAATATTTTTTTAAAAATCCATTTTTATAGACCCAAAAAGTGCCTTCAAAATATTCTTTAAAATTACTACTATTGCTGATGCTGTGATAACGACTTCATCGTTTTGTGAGCAAGAGGGGAGGGGAAAGGAAACGATAAAAATGTGTAACAATTTTACATGTGAATAGATTTTTTTCTAATCAACAAAACAATATTCAAATGGAATGTTATGATATTTTATATTCATAAACACACACACACATCTACACTTTTTTATAAAAGTTTGTTTAAAGGTTACAGATGGGGCCATATTAGGGGTGCTGTTATTCAAAGGAAGCTTATCGATATGACATTTAGTTCAGCAAGATTTTGAAATAGGATCAAATACAGTTCCCATATATAATACCTTCCGATTTTATATCCATAATACCCCAAATACCCTACGTTCGCTCCTTTTCAATGAAATTTTGCACAGCGAGCCGAGTCGAGCCTAGAATTATGTGTGTTAAGTTCTATTCTAATTTGGAATAGTTACCATATTTTTTGTAAATATGTAAATGCTGCACCCGATTTTATGTAAATGGAGCACCATAAGCCCAATGCCTGTTCGATTGAAATGAAATTTAGCATAGCGTACCAAATTGGACCTATAATAACATTTATGAAGTTTATTTAAAATCGATTCAGATTTCGATAGCTCTCATCCAGATCATCTCTGGAATATGCCCGAACTAGTGTATCATATAGTCGGTCCTGTCCGTCTTTGGTCCTTTCCCTATCATTTCTATATTGACTTTCTTTCTAATGCCTTCAGAAGGCCCTTAGATATTGCCATTCTTTTTTTTACAAATCCTCCTCGATTTCCATCCAGGCCATGGATATGTTAATCAAAATGTGTGCTTATATGTGAATACGTATGTATGTGTGTTTTTGTCTTAGCATTTCTCTGGTTATCTCTTTATAAGGATTTGTTGTATAATTTTACAACGTCTTCAAAGTTTTCATCATTTCGGTTGATGGCATTGTGGCGAGGATGGTGGTGTTAACGAAGGTGTTGATTATGATAATGCCGGCAACTGAATTGTCTAACTGTCTACCATCCTGAAAGCCTCCCTGCCTTACAGGCAACGAGCCTGCCTGCCATCAATGGTGTCTCTATTCACGCTTTATTTATTTTCAACATTTGAATTAAATACATGAAAAGGTTGTTTTTACAGGATGCTGTGGTGAAGAATTTATTAACATGAATGTGTGTGCGTGTGTTGGCCATAGAGGTTTCCTTAGATATTTGTCGAAATGGGTATATATGTGTGTTTATCGTTATGTTGTTGTGTAAAGAACTTTAATTTGTTGAAAGGGTTTTACACAGATTCAATTTCCTTTGCTTTTTTGCAGAAAAGTTGTGAAACAAATTTTCCCTTAGGTCTATTAGGGACAAAAACCTATCCTTGCTATCGTTGCCCTCAAATACAAGTACTACCGGAAGGATGAATGTTTGTGTTAGATATTACCGTTACAGGTTAGACAGGTTAGGTGTAACAAAACGGAAATTTATGAAATACAAAAAGGAAATATTTCATAATTAAGAAAAGGACTATTGATAAAGGGGAGATAAATAAATGTATAAATTTCTGGATTGAAAAAATGTTTATTTCTCTATAACTGTTCCTTCTCTTAAACATCTATTCAATTTTCCATGTCTGTAATCCCCCCAAATCTTTAATTTCACATCAAATCCAATCATCATCATCAGAATCACATGGAATTAATTACAAATTGAATACTTACGATATTTCTCCAAATGGTGTAAATGCTTCACGCAGCTGTTGAGTTTCGATTTCTGAACTTAGATCACCGACAAAAATATGAAATTGTTCTGCAAAGAAAACAAGAAAAAAGGAATTTTATTAAAGACATAAACAATACATAGAAATGAACTGAAATAGAATTAGTATTTTTAGCATCACAAACAAATACAGAAATATATGTATATACATACACACATAAACATTTGCACATTTTTCTCATTAGGAAAACTTTCATAATAATTTGCTCTATTGCCTGTTTGTTTGTAGTTGGCCCAATACAAATTTATTCTATTCTAGAATAAATAATATAGCAAATAGTAACATAATATTTATATGAAGATAAAACGAATATTAATAATATGACTTATGTGAAAGGAATCTCATGGCCAACGGAAATAATGTTGAATTGAATGAATGTGGTTTCTAGTAGTTTTCAATTGGGAATTTGAGATTTGCTGCAGTAGACATATAATTAAGAAGCATATTAGGATATTAAGGTGGTTCCTATTTAAGGGAACCCCACCCATTCTCGATTTTAATTTTTCAAGATTTTCAATGGGCTGGTAAATCAATACCAATGCTTGTTAAGGTTTGTAACTTTGCACATATATATTTGAAGATTTAAAAGAGAAGAAAAATAATTTACAAAAAAATTTTGTTGTTGTTTTTTGTAATTAAAGAAAAGTCCTTATTTTTGATGGCGGGCATGATAACTCCTCACTGGAACATCGGAATCCGAAAATTCCAACGGTGTTAGAAAGAGTACATGTCTGGCTCTCGTATGAACTAGGATTATTGACTTTGCTCTAAAATTAACAAAATTGCGGACCTTTGAAAAAATAATTTTGGAAAATCGCCGATTTTTTACCAAAACCCAAGTTAAAAAATAAGGAAGATCTTCACCGATTGGCTTTATCCTAGTTCATACGAGAGCTATACACTCCCAGAGAAACGTTGCAAAATTTGGAACCGATTGGATTATTAGTTTTTGAGTTATCGTGCCCGCCATTCGCAAAAAAATATTTAGAGAAAAACGCGTTTAAAGTTTGAGAAGCCCTTCAGCCGTCACTTGACGCTGACACAATAAATCGGCTATATCTTCAAGAGTTATTGAGATTTTCACTTGAAATTTTGTAGAGACATTTTTTAATCAGTGTAGATTCGAATTATATCAACAAAAATTTTGACCCCGAGAATGGGGGGGTCCCCTTAAACGAATATCAAAACAATCATATACATCAAGCGTAGGCATGCCTGGTTCCATGAGACACTTCTAAGGAATGTTTGACATTCTTTTGTTAGCCTAGAAACACTCCTTACGCTTTGATGATATATCAGCAAGCTTTAACGTAGGCCCCAATATATGCTGCCTGGTTCCATGAGACACTTCAAAGGAAAGTTTGACATTTTTTATGGGTATTTGAAGACGAGCCAAAAATAGCTGTTCGTGGAACAAGAAATGCGAACCAAATGACGGTCCGCTTAAGGAACAGTGGGCGGTCAGTTCTAAGTGGTTCACCGCAGTTTGTTGGCCTGAAGACATCGGAGAAATTCAAAAACCAAAGCAATAGAAAACGAATCACCAAAGCGAGCTCTCATATAGCATCTTAAACCATCGGCTAATATACATGTCAAAATGAGGAATTTATAGTTGATCCGCCGTACATTCCTGACATGTTACCTAAAATGAAAAATTGTTGGTCAACGATAAAGAATTGAATTCGCACATTTTTCCGATATTAACCTAGTAAGGGAGCATTACAGCATCGTGATGACTTTTTTAATTTTAAGTCCTGGAAATCAATGATATATTCCAAAATTTATTTTCGAAAATATTTTCGAATTATATGCAAAATCAACCAGTAAGGAAAGTAGTAAAGCCGGACGGGGCCGACTATATGATACCCTTCACCACTATGGGTATATTAAACAGGACTATTAGCATGAAATTAGATGAAATAAAATATGTGGTATTTATCTAAATGTGAATCTACCTAGATTTGTCCATAAAGTGTGTAAATCGACTTCAAACAAATATAAATAGGTCATCCGTTGGACTATGTCTGTACTTCTAGAAAACGCAACTACGTTATTCTATGCTCAATTTTGTACGATGTGCAAAATTTGATGTCAATCTGACTAACATGAGGAGTTTGATGTCCAATTTACTAGAAATCGGGCGGAAATATATATTTGGAAGCTCTAACCAAATATTAAGCGATTTCAAACAAACTTGTCACAGGTTAGGTTATACTAATTTCAGAACGTTTTGTTCCTATTGGTTCTTTGGTGCGTCAATTACTTAAAATCAATCTATAATAAAAGGGAGCTATATCTAAATCTGGACCGATTTTCACAAAACAAGGCAGACATCACTCTAGGCTCAAGTCAGTACGTTATGCGAAATTTCGTGCAAATCGAAGGACATATAGGCACTTTGGTGCACCATTTACAATAAATCGGACGAAACTATATATGAGAGCTATATCTAAATTTCGACCGATTTTCTCGAAAGTTGGCAGACATCATTCTAGACTTAATTCAATACGTTATGCCAAATTTCGTGCAAATCGAAGGATATTCAGGGACTTTGGTGCACCATTTACATGAAATCGGACGATACTATATATGGGAGCTATATCTAAATCTGTACCGATTCTCACGAAACTTGGCAGACATCATTCTAGACCTAAATAATTAGGCTGTACCAAATTTCGTGCAAATAGGAAGATATATAGGGACTTTGGGCACCATTTACATAAAATCGGACGAAACTATATATGAGAGATATATCTACATCAGGACCGATTTTCATGAAACTTGGCAGACATCATTCTAGGCTAAATTAAGTACGTTATGCCAAATTTCGTGCAAATCGAAAGATATATAGAGACTTTGGTGCACCATTTACATGAAATCGGACGAAACTATATATGGGAGCTATATCTAAATTTCGACCGATTTTCTCGAAAGTTGGCAGACATCATTCTAGACTTAATTCAATACGTTATGCCAAATTTCGTGCAAATCGAAGGATATTCAGGGACTTTGGTGCACCATTTACATGAAATCGGACGATACTATATATGGGAGCTATATCTAAATCTGGACCGATTTTCACGAAACTTGGCAGACATCATTCTAGGCTCAATTCAGTACGTTATGCCAAATTTCGTGCAAATCGAAAGATATGTAGGGACTTTGGGGCACCATTTACTTGAAATCGGACTAAACTATATATGGGAGCTATATCTAAAGTTGGACCGATTTTCTCGAAAGTTGGCAGACATCATTCTAGGCTCAATTCAGTACGTTATGCCGAATTTCGTGCAAATCAAGGATATGTAGGGACTTTGGGGCACCATTTACATGAAATCGGACGAAACTATATATGGGAGCTATATCTAAATTTGGACCGATTTTCTCGAAAGTTGGCAGACATCATTCTAGGCTCAATTCAGTACGTTATGCCAAATTTCGTGCAAATCGAAAGATATATAGGGACTTTGGGGCACCATTTACATGAAATCGGACGAAACTATATATGGGAGCTATATCTAAATCTGGACCGATGTTCACGAAACTTGGCAGACATCATTCTAGACCTAAATGATTAGGCTGTACCAAATTTCGTCCAAATCGAAAGATATATAGGGACCGTTTACATTAAATCGGTTAAATATATATATGGGAGCTATATCTAAATCTGAACCGATTTTTCCCAATTTCAATAGGGTTCGTCCTTGGGCCGAATAAGTGACCTATGCCAAATTTCATCCAATTCGGATCATAAATGCGACCTGTACTTTGTTTACAATTTAACATGGACAGACAGACGGACGGACGGACGGACATCGACTTAGAAAGTGATTCTATGCATATTCTCAAAAGGGACCATGGGTCTATCTCGATTATTTTTGCCTGTTACAAACATATGCACAAATACATAATACCCTGTACCACAGTGTGGTGAAGGGTATAAAAATCATTTTATTGAAATAAATTATCGAGAGCTCATTAACTTCAATCTTCTCACTACTTCAAACGGTATTCTTAAAAATCCTCGTTTATAGCCTATCCAACGTTTTCGGTAAAAAATCCACCTTTATGGCAATAACAGTTCTTCTAAATATATTTTTTAAAATTCTAAGCAATTTTTTTAAACAATTTTCATTAAATATTCGTCTTTTTGCTTAACATATTTGTTCATTTGTCATATCATATTGATATATTGCATTTGCAGTATATATCAAAATAATTTGGAAAATATATATGCGAATTTTATAACATCAACATCAACAAATTCACGATTCTTACACGATCCATGCTTCTCGCAAGGTAGTCTATAAAATCAATCATGCTTCTAACTAGGTATTCTTTAAAATATTTTCTTTGAATAATTGATGCTTCTGGCTAGTAATTTTTAAACTAATTCACGTTTCTGGATCTGATAGATATTAAAACAATATTCAATAAAAATCCGTGCTTCGGGCTCTCCAGGTACTAAAACATATCCATTAAAAATCCGCACTTTTAGCGATGTTGTATAATTAAAACTATTTTTTTAACATTCACCCTTCCATCTCTGTTGAATATTGACAAAAAATATTTTTTATAAAATTCAACCTTCTGGCTCTACACCCTCCTTTAACTCTAATAAGACATAAATGTAGATAAGCCCTTTAGAATATCTAAAACCTACTGGGATTTTTTTATCGGTGGAACCAATCTACAAATATATGAACCCAATTTCGATGTAAGAAAAGAAAATTCAGTCAAAAGCTTTTAAATATCAATAAAAGCTTTTGTCTGAAACATGGATACATTTTTATCGATTTTTTGTTTAAAAACCAAAGAATTCAGAAGATGTTGGGTTGTATGAAAATCCACCAAAGAATAAAAAATATCACTAAAAATTCTGATAATAAAAATTCCACTTGATAATGTATTAATTAATTCAGAAGTACTTCTTCCCCCTCCTACCAGCCCTAATCTCTCAATAATTTAAAAAAAAAAAATTTAAGGCACCCTCGAAGAGTACCTCGCCCACCGTTAATTATGATAATTA